ATGACAGTTGTAGTCCATTCGTTTGATGTCTTTTGTCATTTGATTTTGCCATGTAATAAGAGACTTTCCGATTGAATTTTCCTCGGAGTTCAGTATTTTTGTGATTTTACTTTTTATGATTTATAACATACAGTCTTATTCAAACTATCCTTTGATAAATTAAGAAATTGTAATAAAAAGAAAGTTTCCAACTCCCTCAGACAAAGTTGGCCTTAGATTAATTTTGCTATTCTTTTTGTGGTCCCGTTTGTTTTATATATTTCCAAACGTTTCTACGTATTTATACATCAATGGCTTTCAAACAAGAAAGCGAATCGGACGCAAGACGTTCATACAGTTTTATTTTCATCGAACTATAATTGTTTTGTCATATGGTTGTTGCGTTTTTCGGAGTAAATCTTTTTCCTGTCCATCTTCACCTGTGTGTTGTCATTTACATATAGCCTGACAGAAATAAGGGGTATAAGTAACAAGACATCAACCCAACAATGCATATTACAAACTAAAAGTTCGGGGTCAACAGAAAGTTATCACGATACACAATACATGTATGTCAAGTTCTACAAATGTTCAGAATAAATTTAACTGATCTATTAAAGATCTGAGATAAAAATCAAATTGTCAAATTTAAACAACCACCAAGATATTATACGAGACAACTACTGACTGAATAACGAACATTTCAGCGAGTGCTTGCATCTCGCACATCATAGTGAATTTGATATAAAGGGAAACATTGAAACTAGAAGGCTTTCAAGCGTCTATGTTTGAGCGTTTCTGTTGAAGGTAAATCTAGAAAAAGTGTGATTAAATTCCCTTCAATAACATAAATGGTACCAATTTTAATGCACTAGATGCGCATTTTGACAATTAATGTCTCTTCAGTGATGCTCGAGGCCAAAATATTTGAATAATAAAATCTAATACAAATGTCGAAGAGCGGATCAAAACCAAAAAGGACCTTAAGTATAGCCAAATCCGGACACGGACTCAAAGCTTTGCAAGAGGGTGATATATTCCTTAATTTAAAATTATTTCCAAAATTTTATAACAGCATTTTTTAACCAAACAATATCCGTATTTTCATACCAGTACCGAAGTACTGGCTACTTGGCTGGTGATACCCTCGCGGACTAACAGTCCACCAGCAGTGGTAGTAATAACATGAACGGTATTAATTTTAATGCACATTTCGACAGTTAATGTCCCTTCAGTGATGCTTTTGCGGGTGATTTTGATTCTGTCTACGCAAAATGAATGTACGAGATTTTGACGATTAAAAAAAACTGTTGCCTATTCACCGTTTGTATTAGGTTTTCTTTCAAATATTTTGGCCTCGAGCATCTGGTGCAATAAAAATTGGTACCGTTTATGTTATTGCAATGGTCAACTTTTCGATTTTGACATTACCGAAGGCGACTTATTACCGAATTGTTACTTGCTTGTTCAACACAACGGGTAAAAAATGTGGGACAGGAACTGTATTCCCTTCCGGAGCACCTTGGTTCTCCCCCGTTTTTTGGGTGGTTCATGTTACTCAGTCTTTAGTTTTCTATTTGATGTTTTGTTATTGTTGTTTGTCTTTTGTTTGGTTTTATCTTGGCCATGGTATTGTTTGTTTTTAAATGAACTCATGATTTTTGAATGCCTCCTTATTATCTTCTCTCTCTTTTTTCAAGTTTCGTGAAGGTAATATAATTCCTGTCCCTTCGTATGAAGATATCATATCTCAGTTCAAACATTAAACGCGTGCGTGTTTGTATTATATGAAGGTTCTAAAACAGGGGTATGCTCCTAACGCAAAAACGACTGAAACGACACTACACCAGTTTTACAGTGAACCACACATATTGGTTGACCGGTATGCGGTGTTTTTGAGGCTGTGTTAAATATGACATTCCCGAGCCTCCTTTCAAGGGTCTTGATACTGCGTCCAGTGTTGGTGTTGGTATGAAACATTTTTGTCAAAATGACGTATGCTTTTTTTTAAGATAAAAACTAACCGTTGTATCATATCAGTCGTAGAAAAAAGTAGTCGTTCACAAAAAATTTGTAATCAGTTGTCGTTTGAAAACAGTTGGTTGAAATCGAATCGGTATATTAACCTGGATTATACAATATAGTTGTTGTATTTTGGACATCTAAATATTTTTTTCATTTTGCCTTCTAAGCATCTTTCATTTGAAAATAATCAAAATTTATTACAAGATCAACAACAGTTACTTCGATAAAACTAAATATTGTACAGACATCAGCGTGTCAAGGCTATGGAGGTAGACCTTATAGTATCATTAAAATTCAGAAAATTAGAGCAAATTGTGCCGATCTAATGAGCCAAGCAAATCAAGCTGACTTTTACAATCTTGTGCTGTGATTTTACAACTACTGTTCATGGTTAGGGGAAGGTTAAGCGTCCACAAACATGTTTAGCTCCGCCACATTCTATATGTGCCTGTCCCAATTCAAGAGCCTGTAACTCAATGGTTGTCTTTGGTTGCTGTCCGTCTTATTTGTTTTGTCATAAATCATGCCTTTTTGGTTTTTTCGTCTGAATTTTCTGATATTTCGTTATGTCCGGGCATTTTATAGCTGACTTTACGGTATTGGTCGGTTAGAGGCCGTATTGTGACCTTTAGTTCCTCAAATCTGCTTCATGTGGACTATGTTACATAAGTTTTTCATTGGCAATCATACCACATTTCCTTATATTATATTAAGCAATTTAATACTCAGAAGAAAACAATCTCAATACTGCGGTGAACTAAATTAGATGTTCTTATAACTGCTTGTTTTCATTGAGATCAGGATCGATAGCTGTGATTTACTCGCAATTTTGATTCTGGTCTTTGATACAAATATATTAGAACATAAACATCGACTGTTTTCCTGTTGAACCTGTGATATTACGAATTGCTCGGTTGTATGAAATGTGACTGGTGCCAAATGCGTTTTTCAATCGTTGTTGATGAATTATGATATGAACAAAACCTTTTTCTTGTCACCTTTTAAATTCTTAATAGTACCATTATTAGTACCAAAAGTCATGTGATTTCACAGATGTACAACTGTGATCTCTGCCCATGATGTTGATCTATTTGGGATTATTTTTTTTGTTTCTCAAATATGTGGTGGAAAATATATTCCTACCGTTTTATTCAAGAGTTGGATCAACATAAATACGAACTGACAACGGAATGTAACGACAAAATTCTTTTTCCTATTTGTTCGTTACATCTTCAGGAATATTTGGCTGATTTGGATCGAAGCGATTCGATGAAATCTTATAAGGGTTATCTACATTTACCAAATAAATTTGTCGTTATGTTTTTGTAACTCATAAACCGTTAGCCGTATAAACCTAGTCTTTTTATTTGAGGTCCTTGGACCCTAACTAAGAAAATAAGGTCAAGGTCAAAGGTCAAGGTCATGTTCTCAATTTTGACATTTACTTGTTTTTGTATTTTCTCTGACACTTTTTAAGAACATTAGGTCTGAAACAATCCAATGACATCTTATAGGAGTTATTGCCCCTTAAATGTTTTATTTTAGGGTAAATTGATTATTACTTCAAATTGGTACATGATAAATCCATAAGATCTTTGGAAAAATGTTGGATGACATATGACCTTGAAAAATGTCAACCGGAAGTGACCTTGAGTGAACCGGAAGTAGTCATTTTTGCACTTTTTATGGAAAAGTACCTAAAAACTATATTTATTTTAAATACGCATACAAAAACCTATCATTTGAGACCGGAAGTGTCCTTCAATAAACCGGAAGTACCTACTATCTCCCTTATTACAGGCAAAAGTATATAGAAACCATATATTTTTGGAATCAGTGTGAATAAAGCTATCATGTGAGACTGGAAGTGACATTTTTTTAATCGGAAGTTGACAAATTTTGCCCGAAGCGACACAAAGACTCCATATGAGAGTTATTTCCCCTTCTGTATTTGACATAAGGGATATAGAAATGTATAGCCTGAATGGTACATTGTAAGTGATAGAGACCTAAGGTATTTTGATTTGAGGTCCTTGGTTCACTAAAATGAAATTGATGTCAAGGTCAAAGGTCAAGGTCATATTCTAAATTTTGAATTATCCTTGTTTTATTATCTCCTCTGACACTTTTAAAGATATATAAAAAAGAACTAGTGCAAAATGTTTGCTTCATTGTGATGAAGATATGATACATTCGTTCTGAAACAATCCAATGACACAATATAGGAGTTATTGTCCCTGATTTGGTTAAATTTAAGGTAAATTGATTATAACTACAACTTGGGACATGATAAAGCCTTAGGGTCTTTTGAAAAATGTTGGGTGACATGTGACCTTGAAAAAATGTCAACCGGAAATGGCCTTGAGTTTACCAGAAGTAGCTATTTTTGCACTAATTTCATGGAAAAATACCAAGAAACCATATATTTTTTGAATAGGCATGCATAAACCTATCATTTGAGACCGGAAGTGACCTTCAATAAACTGGAAGTAGCAAATTATTTCCTAATTACAGGCATAAGTATATACAAACTATATATTTTTGGAATCAGTGTACATACAGCTATCAATGGAGACCGGAAGTGACATTTTCTTAACAGGAAGTCGGCAATTATCATCCTTATTTCAGGCAAAAGTATATAGAAACTATATATTTAATGAATCATTATGAAAAAACCTATGACTGGACGCCAAAAGTAACTTAAAGTAAACCAGAAGTAGCACCTTATCAATTATTTAAAAAATTGAAGTGGAAAGACCTTCAATTGTTCTCTGAACAATTGGTTTTAATTTTATATTATCTTTTTTTTGTTTTTGACTGAATTCACGTTTACTTAAGAAATCAGCCATTTGCATGACTATCAGATGCAAAGTGAGTACACATTAATTGTAGGGGAAACAGCAAATGCATCCAACTGAACTTTGTAGAGATTGGTTGATAGAAATTTGGATAACACAATTTTAGATATAATGTTGGTTTTGATATAAACAACTTACCTCTCCCTCTTCTACTGCGGTATACAATGCCATTTTAAACCGTTCTACATAGTACCAATTATTTTGGTCTCCAGAATTAAGGATTTCGTCCATTCTATCTTGAGCATCATACCCAAATGCAGAAAATGTCTTGTCCGAGTCAAACAGTATAGCAGAAGGAGCTTTCAATGATGTCATTGAACCAGTGCTTGGCGACCATCTAGGTACATGAACATCAGACGGGTTTGTCTTGAATTGATAATCCATGGAGAAAGCATATCCACATCCATCACTTCCTATATCTATGGCGACTACACACTGCGGGGCAGAGTTCATATGTGCCATCTGAAAAGAAAGTAATGTTTGATTTTTTCACTTTCTGATTCTTGATAACTAAACGAAGTCTTGGTGAACAAAATGTCTTTGTATTGTCACGTGAATCTAAACAAACTGAACATTTAAAAACTAATATAACTACACTTACCACAGGTATTTCTTAAACGAAAATGTAATTATAATATACATATACATAATTGTGTTGTAATAAACCGCGTAATCGGAACAATCAGGCAAGTATATTCCAATGCCAATTATTTTGTCAGTTTCAAAATCACACTACAAAATCAATGAGTCGTGGTAAAATTGATAGAACTTTTTAATTACATTTAAAGTTTTTACATTTTCTTTTGAACTCAACCACAAAGTACACAATGAATGATGGCAAGAATACTTATAATTTTTTCATAATAAGGACTACGAAAACTCAAGTGAATTTGAACAAAAAGAGATACTAGGTATACGTCAATGTTATAGCAAACTATTTACACATGTACACCTAAGAATTAACATATGTATAAAACATTTGAAATAAATTATAAATGAAATACATTACTTCTATAATCATCTTTTAATATCTTGTTCGATGTACAACATTTGGAAAAGATATATCAATTAGTTGAATTATTAAAGACAATTTAAAATAAGTCTATGCTCGCTCTTGGAATATACACGTTGTAATTGGGCGTTGCATATTCATAAAGCAACATTTATAATTGTGGACGAAGCATATATATTCAGTAGACACGAACAGAACACATCCGATGACTTATTTACTTTAAAGTATTGTGGATTTAACACAAGTCAATGATCCTCAACCTAAAGTACCACTGTATTAGTACTAAAACAAATGAATAATCAGCTACTATTTCATTTAGAATTGCTGGTGGTGACACAAACTTCACGTTTCCTATCTTATTGTATGATTTATTTATGACGTAAAGATATTTCTTGACAATAATCGATAACCACACAGATCGAAATGTTGCCAAATTTTTCATTCATCTTGGAGTTTATTATCGTCGGATTTAAAAAATTGAGTTTGAAATCATAAAAATATTCTTTATGATAACATTTCAATCGTATATTTTTTTTTCGTAAAAGATCAAACTTTTTAACGAATTCTATGGACAGCCATGATGATCGTTCTATGAATGTGTCATAGAAAGGTCACTTCAAATCTTGAAAGTACATGTACAGCCAAGCATGAAAACAAAAACTGTTTGAATCAAATGAAAACCAATTGGAGAGAGATCAGTGCATCTACTAGCATACCTATATAAATCATGAGACGAATGGAAACTCATATCCTTTAACATTAGGCAAGACTAGGTACATGCCAGTTATAAAGTCGGACAGACGATAACAGTGGAGTCATCTATCATGAATAATCAAAACACAAGACACTGTATCGATCAATAACCAGTGCATGACTTGAACCAGTGGATTGTAGGAGTACATTTTGTCAGTCCTGAGTTCGCAAGTATTCTTCTTTAAAAATGGAATCATATGTACATATATATGTCCCTATGTACATTGTATGGAAATGCCAAAGGATATGACAAAGGGTATATTACCTTAAAGGAATGGAGTGTATGATATGAGAACTAACATTATTGTGTTTGTTATAAATTCAAGTTGTGAATGACTCTTGTCAAATTCAGTTTTGGAATGAAGATTAAGATCTGATATCGATCGACCTTCCATTGTATATTGTATTTTAATTGTATTTTAATTTTTCAATGTGATAAATGACAAGCAAGCAGGGTACGGTTAATATGTCTAAATGTATAGTTAAAGTATTTTCTTACCTTAGGAGTTTTTTTACGACCTATGCCGTGTCTTGGATATGCAAACAAAGGGGGAAGTGCAAAAACTGGTTTAAAGGCACCACATTATGTGTGGTACCATGTCAAGTTAATTGGACCATGTGTTTTGTGTTGCTGTATGCCTATCTTTTAGGAGTTGGGTGGTGGTAGTAGGTGTGGTCTGTTGTGATGTCCAATATATGTGTGGTTCGTGGTTCTTTCTGTTAAAATTTTTATGTATTACTTTTATAGCTTCTGCCTGATATGAAAATGAATGCATAAAGTAAATTAATGTTTGTTGCAGTATCCATACAATTAGTTTTAAAAATCTTATAATTAACCGAAACTTCATATACCAAAACTACTAGAAAAATGAAGAAAAGAATATATAACATATATATATGGTTATAGACAATTTCAGAGAAACCGATTTAAGCAGGTGAGCAGAGTTACGTAAATATTCAGAATGTGATATTTTGAATTGACAATATTATGGTAAACATAATGTCTATAATATGGAATTATTTGCACAGTTATTATATATATATTTTTTTATAGAATGCAAGATACCAAAACTTGCTACAACAAAACATGGTAATACAATTTAGAATATCTTTATTGCTGCTGTTTTACATCAGTAAATTGTTAATTTTGATCCACTCCATATTCATGGAGTTTTAAAATCTTTTACAAAATAATGTTATATGCATACTACTGCAAATTAATTTTTTTAATTCTTTTAACACAATTTAATGCAAAATATAATAAAAAAGAACAAAAACCTATCAGAAGTCAATAGTTTCGAACAAAGAAAAAATCACACCAAATTAAAATATCATTAAGTTTAAATCAATGTTCAATTGTACAATTGAGTTAGATGAACGATATGTTGAAGGTTGTATTACACAATGAATTCACATTCATGCACTTCTTTCTACAGTAAATACTCATTATGATAATACATTTGTTTCATATCCGAATGTTGTATTCTAGCTTCCTTTACCGAGTAAATAAACAATAACAAATTCACCCCATCAAGCCAATAATTAACATAGATTTACTAAGAACTTCTTCAATGTGAGCAAAAGTAACTAAAGTTATCATACTTCTGATCTACTAAAATAGAATTTTACTTTAGCACTTTAACGGTTTTCATGACGAGTTACTAGACCATTACTTAAGTGCTGCTCTCCCTGATAGACATAACTATTTCACAAAAACAATCTACGCCATTTATATCGGATACGATTCATTGCTGGGTTTTGCCCCTGGTTAATAAGACTATTAAGATATGAGAAATACGTTATGCGATCCTTCCAAAACATCCAATATCTTTTAGCGCAATTTACACCTGTCTGGTCGTTTGTTTACAACTCGTACGCGCGTCTGGCGTACTTCAGTAATAGCCTGGTTTGAGTTTTTATAACCACTGAGTAGATGCCCACTCTCTTGGATGTTTCGTCCTGAGGTAATCACCAGCCAAGAAGTCTTCATTTCTGAAGGTTTTGCTGGTGAACAAAAATATGATCAACCGGATTTTCTCAAGCCGAACATCTAATTTAATATCACATTCTCTGTGCTACACTCAAGTACATAATATAACCCTTAATTTAACACTTTGAAGGGTGTTCGTAAGGACTTTTTGCGAGGATAACTTCTTATGCTACCAGTAAATACCCTCTTCTTCCAGTTAACGTTATAGAAACAACCATTTGAATTTGTCCTTGTTCTTAATATGTAAGAAATATTTCCTCTTGAACCTCAAATTACGCCAATCATTAGTATTATGATGAACTCATAATTCATTACAAAATGTATTTAAAAAAGTGCCGATTTTTTAGATATCATTTTGACCTGGAAAATGACGTTTTGAAATTCATAGATTTCTCTTTATTGCATTTCATATATAATATAAGGGGAATAGGAATACAGTTTTCAACAAATTCTTGGTCGAAAAAGAACGAAAGAACAAAAACCTCCAGATTTTTAAAGTTGTGCTGCTGTTTACAAGACGAATCTTTGGTCTAGTAGCTCCATACTTCCGGATAAATCCTTGGTGTTTTCTTACCTTTCCCTTGAAATGTATTGGTTTCATCATGAGAACTATAATTTTGAAATATGCTTCACATAACTGAAAATTAAATAAAGAAAACAGCCTTACCTTTCCACATATATATTTGCTAAGGAATCACAAATTAAAGGACCAAGGTTTTTTGTAAGAGTCAGGATTATCATAGTATGGTCCCAGGGATATTATCGACAATCTGCCAATATTTTAAGATTAATTGTTTAAAAATATTTAGAAACACTATGATACACCTGAATAAACATTTGCAATATAACGTTGTATCTTCTCTTTTTTTTTTTTAAACATATATGCTTAACAATGCAACTAAATACCGGGAGCTTCAATCGAAAAATTACCATTGAGGTAGCGCTTAAAAGTTAGAAACCGAAGTATATGTAGAAAATAAAAAAGAAAAAAATGCAATATATATGGTTGCATTAAAACATCGTTTACATTATTCCTACCGGTTTCACTCCTCACGGATGATATTCATGGTAAACATCCATAGTACACAATAACGATATATATATATAGTTTTAGTATCCTCTTTATGTATTCTTGCATATTGAGCTTAACTGTAAAAGTCGTACATGTACCTAATGCATATTACCAAAATTAATCCATTGCTTTCCAGTAGTTAATGTTGTAAAATATCATTTTATGTGTGTATCCTTTGTAATTATTGCATTTATGAAATATTGAAAAAAAAGTGCGGGAAAAAGTGACTTTTGAGACTACATTTTCATTTCATTTGAAAGGTTCCTTTTCTGAAAAAACGATATTAACTTTGAAGATATATATTTTCTAATTTATGTGTTTTTCGCTTCATTTCATTAAAACTACTTCACATATTCTGCATTCAAATGAAATTATTTCTAGACATACATATATGAAAATACGGACTGGCAACCTTCTACGTCATTTTGTCTCTGTTGGAGAGTTTTCTCATTGGCAATCATACCATATCTTATTAAGATAATATTGTCAAACTGATACAAATAAGCCTTAAAACACACATTAAAATAATTTTCATGACGGTTCCATTAGTTTGCCGTTTGTTGATATAATCGAGCGTTTGGTTTTGTCAGGTTTTATGGACTTCTCCCTTATGAATTTACCTTGGAGTTCGGTATTTTTGTTTAATATGTTTTTCGTATAATATAAAAATAGAAGATATAAACTCATTGTAAGGCTAAAAGATTCTTAATAACATAAAAGGTATCAGTTTAAGGCAACTTCACTGCTGCGCCAGACACGGATTTCGGCAAATGCTGTCCTTTCAGTGATGGTCGAGGCCAAAATAATATATTTGAAACTTCAAAGAGCACATTTGGGAAACCACACGTTTAAAAAATTATACCTTTATTTAGCATCCTTAAGCAAGCAGATAATAACAGTTGTCCATAAAACAATTTCTATAAAATAACGATTTTGTAGCACTATTGAAATAGTCGATTTGTGTTAGAAAGGAAAAAATATCTTAATTTTTGGAACCCGATGAATTTAAATATAATGAGTGATGTAATCCTAAACGAGGAGAAAAATGCTGTATTTAAACAAACCGTTGAAAACAAAAACCAAACTTACTGTATTAATTATGGTTTCATACAAAAACTCTTTTTACTCCAAAAGAAACACATTTTTGGTTTGAAAACTGCATAAATATCTACCTTGTCTGAAAAATTATTTAAGTATCCAGCAAGTGTAACGGATCAAGTTAATAAGATTCATATTTCTACAATGCATTATATAAATATGACAATATACAAAGAAAGAGATGTGGTATGATTGCCAATTAGTTTAACTATCCACAGAGTTCAAATGACTTGGATGAAGGCGATTATAGGTCACCATACACCCTTCAACAATGAGAAAAACCTATACCGTATAGTCAGCTTCAAAAGACCCGATATGAAAAATGTGAAACAATTCAAACGAGAAAACTAACAGCCTAATTTATATCAAAACAATATACGAAAAACATTTATGCCAAAAGTGAGTAACAACAACCACTGGCATACAGGCTCCTGCCTTGGGACAGGCATATATATAGCATGTGGCGGGTTTTAACTTGTTTGTGAGCGCTTAACCCTCTCCTGACCTGGCACAGTGAATGGACTTTACATTCAAGAAAATTTGAAAACACCTCCCAAGGTATACAACACGTATTCAACAAACAGGTGGGACTACCTACTTAGCTTCCTGTCACAGCGAGTACAGTGTGACCATGATTTCCAAATTATGTCACATCTTTTATTTCCTTTTTAAAAGTATTGGTAATCATGCTGCTAGCTGGATGTGCAAGTATTATTGTGTTGACGTTTTACGTCAAATGGTCTCAATAGGAACTGTGCAACATTTTGGGTGAGTCTGCTATCAATTTTTATGCATTATCTAAACCCCTTGTTCACGTTTACATGTTAATAACAATTCGTATCATACTTAAGTTTTGAAACTATACTATACCACAGATCTGACTGTTTAAAACCAATAACCCCTATCTTAAACACTAATGACAAGCACAACAATATATTATAGCAAAATAGTAGGTAAATATAACTCTTCTCATGTATCTTTTGACCATTATGGTCATGTTGACTTAATTGTAGATCTTGATTTTCCGATTAATTTTGCTGTTTAAAGAAATACTCATAAAAGATAGAAGGCTTTATATTTGATATGTCAGACACGCGTTTCGTCTACATAAGACTCAACAGTGGTGATCGAATCAAAACAGCTAGAAGGCCAAATCAATTACGAAGTTGAAGGGCTTAAAACTTAACATTCGAAAAAGTTATGACAAATACGGCTAGGGTAATCTGTTTTAGTTATTCTTTATCTAGAAAAAAGAAGATGTGGTATGATCGCCAATGAGACAACTCCATAAGAGACGACATGACACAGAAATTAACAGCTATAGGTCACCGTACGGCCTCCAACAATGAGCAAAGCCCATACCGCATAGTCAGCTATAAAAGGCCCCGAAATCACAAATGTAAAATAATTCAATTGAGAAAACTAACGGCCTAATTAATGTACCAAAAAAATGAACGAAAAACAAAAACAGCAAAAAACGCACAGTTTTCAAGATAATTGCCAAAAACAAAAAAAAGTGGACCAAAATCGTCATTTAAGGTAATAACTCCTATAAGGAGCCGATTCATGATTTCGGACCAATGGGAAGAAATTGTAGATCATGACAAGTTGATCGTTTTGAGGTGAAAGTTTTCTTTTCTATACCTGTTATGATTTTAGAGAAAACAGTCAGACCCATGATATCACCACTGTGTTCTGTTTTTAGTAACGGTGGCCAAGTTTGATCCGAAGGTTTCAATAATGTTTGTTAAAGGCTTATTACGACGCACGACGACAGATATCTAGTGATGGCATTAAATACCTCACATAAACTTACTGTGCAAGGTGAGATAATTTAATAAGTGTAATGATAAAGCTCTGTAATCAATTATCAATATTTGCCTTTGCAAAGCTTGGCGGCTTTTGATGTTATATTTACAGCCTTATTTCGTTTTGTAAAATATATTGTTGTATGTCTGAAATTACAGTTAACAATTTTCATTATTATACTTCATGAAAAAATGCCAGATTTTGATTGGTTAATACGAGGGTGACAATTTACTCTGTCCCATGGTAAATACTCTATTACCCTTCACAGAGACGCTTGCTCGATTGTGCGCTTTAATTAATACGGATGATTGTTATGTACAAGACGACATAGTTTATTACTTTGAATTTGAAATTTAATAGACAGTAACAACAGAACATTCAGTATAATAAATTAAATAACACAAATCTGAGAGGGTGATAGAGCAGATTGTTACCCCTCGAAAAGACATTGTCAACCTTGCCTTCGCCTCAGTTGACAATGTTTTCTCGGGGTAACAATCTGCTCTACCACCCTCTCAGCTATGTGTTATTTATATATTGCTCTTGTGAGTCTTTGGTCAAATAAAAGGATTCATTGCAGTGTAATGTATTGTATTCGCATTATTGAATTGTATTGCATTGAGTTATATTGTTATGTATTTAAGTATTTAAGTATTTTAATTCTATATTATTGTATTGTATTGTATTATAGTGTATTGTTTTTGCATTGTATTGTATTGTATCCTCTCAGTTAATAATTTAAAGTTTAGTAAAAAATACATTGAACGCATCTATCCCTTCGAACTTGAAATAGTGAATATAACAGATACAGTTTTAGGCTACCTCATATCTTGATCGTTATCCAGAAATTGACATTGAGTGTCGGTTTCGTTCTATACTTAACGACAAAACAGATGATTTGCCTTTCAAATTGTGAGTTTCAATTTCTAATATATGATAATATGATATATTGGTAAGTTTATCCTTCCGGATCATTTCTGTTAATGATGGTGTTTGTGTTGCCAAGTCTAATTTTAAGGTAGTGATTGTGGACTGTTGTTTGCCTTTGCGTCTTTTTTTGTTTTTACTGTTTATTTTCATACAACGACTTGCTGTAGAACTTGGACATTATATGTATTTGATACAATCAGACGATACTATTTGAATAATATTTTGTGAAATGTCATTACATCATGTACACATAATACGATTTGTTTTTTATTACTCAATTTGAAAAGAAATGGAAGTGTTATTTATCTCCACCAAACCACACAGAGATAGATTATAAATTAACATGAGGTGATATCACCAAGTAATCGAGAACAAAAACGTTATGTGTTTTCTTGCACAAAAATTCTGTGGCTCCTTAAAAAAAAGAAAATATTTATTCGTACGAGTTTATGTAGAGTAACCTACGATCAACTTCCATAGTCAGATTATTTTTGTTGGTAATAAGAACCCCGGACCTTTATAAAAATCATTTTAGTCCTCTGGGCTGCATGATTTTTATAAATTCATTCTATATACTGCTTGTTTGTTTTTATTGCTTGTTTGTATGTACTATATCATGTTTGTACTTACTTTATGAGTGCCCCATGTAAGATTAGTGAAAACTATAATTGAACGGTTACCCTCTTTAAATAAAATATTATTATAGCGTCTTATATGTATACTTCGTTCTCTTTCACAGATAACATCTGTGTCATGTTACAATCAACGACCATGAGGACTTATATTAAAATGTATATGTATTCAAAACAACGTTTAAAGATCACGTTAAAATATTAAATATTCAACATTCAAAACAATGGGTACATTAAAGTGTAATTACCGATTTAATCATACGTTGTTATAGCGTACAAGGAAGACATCCTAGTACATAAAATTGCATCAACGTGGGCATTTTCTCTGACTTTGAATATTTAAACGGAACTGAAAAAATAAAAACGAACATAATAACGATATATCTACTACAATGAATGAGCCTCCACAGTGCGTGGTTGCCATTGATATTGGAAGTGCCGGCTGTGGATATGCATTTTCTGCGGACTACACTTTTTGTAACAATCCGTGTGATGTGGCAACTTATAGATGGTTTGCAGAAGTTGGTAAATTTGCATCTCTGAAAACCCCAGCGGCCATTCTATTCGACTCACACCAACAGTTTGTTTCCTTTGGATACAATGCTCAGGAAAAATATATCACCATACTGGAATCCAATGATCAGAATAATTGGTATTACATAGAAGGTTACAAAATGGCGTTGTATTCTGCAGTTGAAGCCGGAGAGGTAAGATTTTATTGAAGAAAATAGTGAAATGAGTGATGAACAAAAACCTTGAAGGCAAATCAACACCCAACAAGTTTTGTTTTTAATATATTCCATATAAAAAATGAAAACAATACATTATTCGTCCGAAGCACTTTTCTGGATTAACCTTCTCAGGAACACTCAAAGACAAATATTTGAAAGCCAAGGATGTATAAAAACCGAAACAGTTGAAGAGCTATATGACCAAAAAGGACCTAAAAAAATTGCTAAATCCATCTAAGGTCACATACATGAATTACAGTACACTGACTCAACTTTCTCTCCGCGGTTACAAAGCTCGTTGTCGAAATCAACATTATTTTGAATCAGTAGTCCACAACTCCGACAATAAAGTACATGGCTCTTTGATGTTGATGTTGATACAGATACATATACAGATAACAACAATGTCCTAAAACTATGACATTGTCATTTTATAAATTACATTGTTTCAAGCATCACCGTTCGTCATCCTGACGTTATTTACGATAGAACAGTTGATAGGATACTAGCAGAAGTCCTACTTCTGATACTAGTGACAGTTTGACACGCCTTCATAAAATGATGAATTGTCATGCAGCGGCTATCGACGTACTCTTAATATGCTTATTGTAATATATTGTAATGTAGGACTTCCTTCGAAAAAAAACCAAAATTTCAAATAATTTCGTAAAGATATTACAAAGAATCAGTTCATTGTTTGTCCATCGATAAACGAAGAGGTCCCAGTAAAAGATGATAAAATTAGTCCATTACATAATGCGATATCGGATGCAATTATCTTTCTCTATATATGAACAAAATATGTAGATATATGTAAATGAGACAGTAGACCATCAATACAAATAAAAAAAGACTATTTAATAAATTACACAATTTTCTTTTAAAATGTAATCAAAGTTCCTAAAAAACGATCATAAATGAAAAAAATGACTGTTTCAATCTTAAATTCTCTATTGTTGAAAATAAAACAACGACTAGAAAAATGACCGCTAGTACAAAATAGCTTGCGCCGAAAAAAGACACAGTTAAAGGTTTTTCAGTTTCTTGGAAATCTTTTTTTCATTCTTTTCTCTCCACTTGAAAGTTCAAAAAATTTGTTCGCCCGGAGTTATGAAATTGTTCAAATCTTGAAATTTGATTAATTTTTAAAATTTTGTTCTATAGACGACAGAAAGAAATACGAGCAAGTGAAACCTTAGATTTTCTTTCTGAAGACAATTTCGATTAGAACGAATTACTTTATTTTGCAGTAAAACAACTTATCAAAAGACGGACCCATGTCCATTCTTCTTGGAATCGAATGAAAATATGTATGTTTAACAGGCTAACTTAATCAATAACATATGGCCCAAACAGCTCCCATAGCACATGCATTATTAGATGTCAAACAAAACGAACAAACTTCAATTTACATGTATCTTATTCCTCAAATCTGAATAATTATCGACTGGAAAAGAAGGAACATGGTGTATAAATAATTTATCCACAACACAAAATCCCTACATGCAATTGGCAATACCAAAGGAAAAGAAACCGTGCTTTTATTGCTGTTCTTCATCTGAAAGAGACACATTGAGGCCTGCTTAATTTGTATTTCCAACTTTCATACGCAAAAAGATGAGCCTCTGAAAGTCGATAGCTAAAATTGTAAATGAAGTTTTGGTTCTTGAAAACTCTGAAGTTTTTGACATTCTGAAATGGAAAATTTAATTTGCTTTTCGAATTACAAGAATGTATTCATTTATACTCTGGATAGAATTATTCTAAGTCTTAAGTAAACCTAAACTTTTAGATATAAATCAGAATTTACATAAAATTAAGCCTTATAAAAAACAAAATGTTAACATTATGCAATTCATTTTTGTTTTCTTCCATTTTCGATGATTCTAAAGCTCATGTATAAACGTATATATTAATTGTATATTGTGAAGTGTTTTAATTTTCAACAGGGAATACCACTTGTTGAAAGTCACAAATGATGGCCAAAATTATATCATGAAACAATTACCATATTTCATTTTACTTTCCGGGTCGGTGTACCATGAAATAATGTATTACAGTTTTCACAAAGAAGTAATTCGGGATAAGAAATGTCTAAATTGATAAGTTTTACATTGCATTTAAAAAATCCATTGCAAGAGTATTATATGATTAGAAATCATCTCAACCTGAGAACGAGTGGCTCATTTTCTTCTAGCAATGTTTATCTTTAAGTTTGTTAGATGTTGTACTTTCAATGGTATTTGTAAACGCAGAGTAAAATTTTAAATGTTTGGAATAAATATGTCAAATCATTCATCTTCAAAACAAAATTTCAGAAGATAACGGGAAATATCAGAGAATAATCATTATGATATGAATTGAAAAAAAAGAAAAAAAAGAAGAAAACCAACACATCTTTGATTAAAATTGAACTGATTAAAAGTCAAATTGACCTATAAAATTCTTTACACACAAAACAAGTACATCACTGAAACATCTCAAAATGTTCGAATAGAGCCCGTTTTTTAAACGCGTACTGGACATAATTTTTACATTTCTATTCAGACTTTCGACATTTTATCAACCGTTAGTGAACCATTTTTTAGGGTAATGAATCCGTTGTTTCATTAATTTTTCAATGTAAAATAAATTGAATAAATATTTTTGTTTTGTTTAGAAAATACAGTTACTTGTGTATGAAATAATTTTAATGAAAGCTTACTGAACACGCCCACTAATGTCCAATCAGCTTTTCTGTTGTACAAAGTTTGACGTGCGGTGATGCTTGAACAGTGTATATTACATTGTAATAGTTTTATGACATTGTCTTAGAACACCAAAAGACTACTTACTATACTATTGTGACTGTGTCATCTTGATTCAAAACTAAATTGATTTATTAAAAGTGCTTTGCAAGCGCTGAGAAAACATTGAGTGTAAATGACATACCTCTAAATGTACGCGGCTTAACTGACCTTAAAACGTACAATTACTCAAAAATTAAGTATCTTTATATTAAAATAATAATAGTAGAGGGTTTTGTTTAAAAAAGAAGAATTGTTTTTTTATCAGATACTACAGCTATAACCAACTTTCTTAGTTTGATTCTGATTGAATAGTTGTGTCTTTGATGCATGATATATCGTGGTTAGGAGAAATATTCAAAAATAAGTGGTCTTTTTAACATGTATTCGGTCATATTTTTTGCAGGATGTCAGAGATGACTTCAGTATAAAAGAGATGGGTGGTAAGGCAGTGTCAGCTAAAACGGTATTTTCCTCTACTATCAAATACTTCTATGGCCATTTTTTGAAAGAAGTGCAGGAACAAAATCATAGCTTTCAGAGAGAAAAAGTACATTGGATTATATCCGTACCTGCTATTTGGACAGATCCTTGTAAACAGTTCATGCGGGAATCGGCGATAATGGTCAGTAACATAATGTGTTTGCTTGTGCCATTTTATGTACTACGACGGGTTATACCACTGAAGCAAAACTAGTACTTGAACTAAATAAAACAAACAACCCTTTCCCCAAATTGCTGTAATAATTACTACGCTTGCACTGTTTCAGTGTTCTAAATAAATCTGACATACACAAATGCTGCGTTTTTTTGAAAACCATATTATTCAATTAAAAGTGAACCACTCTGATTTGACTTTTTATTACCATCAATAACTTGTCCCTTGAAGTAACCCGACCATTTGACTCAAATCTGTACAAGCAAATCAAATTTCTCGAATATAAATACAACTAAACAAGTTAAAGAGGGTAATAAAAATATATATCTCCGGGTAGGCTTGTTTTCTTAATGTAATGAAAGAAAAGTAGAAATTTTTACATGGTTATCAGAAGTAACAGCAATCCAAAAATGACAATTGTGATTTTATTAGAGGTGAAGCTTAACTGGTAAATACAAATTTGATTTTGAAAATCCAATCATTTACAAACACATAAGGTGTAACACCACTAATTCGGGCCCGGCAAGAAAGCACATATCAGAAAGTAATACATATTTAGTACAAAATAGTTCCTACGCATGGGTGTAACCTTCAAAATATGTAGAATATTTAGGTATTTTTGGTATCAAATGAAAGCTGAATGACTGGTGATAATTGTAGAACACCTTTAATTTGACTTATAGTTTTGAATAATAAAAAAATTACATAAAATTTAAAAAAGAGGGTACATTTTGCCTGTTTGTCAGATCTGAAATACCTGTTTTGGTACATCCGGAGTTCCGGGAACCAGTTCTTTATTGTATGCCATTAAAGATATGTTGATTTTTTCAGTACAAGGCACCATAAAGTGTTGCTTTGACATGCAATGATTGTCACTTTATTTGAACTTAAAACAAAAGAGCTGTGCCTGCTTGAAATTGAGGAATTTAACATAGAAAGCAATGGGGCCATGAATAAGTGGTGTACTTCCATAAATTGATAATTGGTAAAACCCTTTGATAGGAGGAGGAGGATATTACACACACTCGTATTACAACTGCCGAAAGAAAAAAGGATACGATAACAGTTATCTTTCTTAATCCGTTATTGCTTTTTTTGTTATGCATTTGTAACAAAACTTGAAGTTTTGTCTGTAAATAGCTGATTAATATAAGAATATCGTATTTTAACAATAAACTTTTTTTATCTGGTAACGATAAAATTTATGTATAATCGATTTCAGAGGAAAAAGATAAAGATATGAAACAGACTTTCTAGTTTCCGTAGTACCCTTTACCTCAATTTCACTGTGATATATGAGATGAAAGCATTCACTGAAATGTATGTTATTGAGTGCTTGAACATCATCAATTTATTTGAAAGTGAAATTAAACAAATCTGCAAAACGTAGAATAATCAAAAGTTTTAATATTACTGCAAAATTGTAAAGATGTGGATTCTATTGGAAAAAATTAAAAAGTCTTTGCTGGCAAAAAGAATTACAACTGAAAATATTTTAAATATATTTTTGATGTAAAAGGAATAAAAAATATAAAATGAAATAGTAACATGCCTGTCATTCATAATGTGCGCAACTATTGTACTTTTAGGGCATACGATACAGTTACAGGGGAGGTAATGACGTTACTAACGTAAACTGTTATTTCCAGCGACGTCAAACTGTGATATATCGGTAAAAGATGCATTTTCGACTGATTTTTATCATTCAGACTGATTTCACTTGAAAACGAGTTCATGGACCCGTCTTTTTAAAAATGACATTTGGCTTGATTATGTATGAAGAATATTTGTGCCAATGTTTATGAACAAATCACCGATGATTTTTTTTTAATTATATAAATATACAGCAAAAAATGACGTTCTTTGACTAAAATCATGAAAATATGATAAAAATGAATAATTTCCAAAGAATTGTTTCATAAATTTAAAGCAAACTTATGTAGAGAAGATATATCAGATGCTTTTACAAAAATCCGCTTGCGTTTATCTTTTAAAACAAAAAAGTTAGGTATGTCTTTCCAAAGGATAGAAATGTCAAAGAAACCGAAATTTCCAGGAAATGTCTAAAATTTCGACCATATTTATCTCTAAAAGTAGCATATAAAGGTATATTTTTTATTACATATTTGAATTGACTAGGTGAAAAATAGCTTGTATGAAAACTTTCGTCAAAAAATCACAGTGGGATCAAAACTGTATCGTATGCCCTTAATCTTAAGTGGCTTGTGCGCGATTTATAATTGTTATTTCCATTTATCAAGCAGCTAATATATGATTCGCAAAAAACAGAACACTCATATGTATTTTTTTTTTTGCATTTTGCATTTTGTTCAGTTCAAATCAAATTTAAATCGTTTCATCACATTTCTTGTATGTCGAACAATTATTAATCAAGAAAGTTCGGTTTTTAAATGTTTTGTGTCAGTCATTAAACTTAAAATTCCGGTCATACTTTAATCAAATTAAATAAATAAACTGATAATCAGTTCCTACTATTAATTATAGCATGGTTATTTTTGCACTATAAAATGCATAGTCAATATTACTATAAACGATAAATCAAAGCATTCCGCAATATTTTGTTACTTTCTTGAGGTTTTGGATAAATATGGCTTATTAAAGAGTACAATAAACACAAGACCAGCAAGGAAGATAAATCGTAATGCCCAACCAACTCAACAAATGAATATTCAATCTAGTGATCTTTCTCGTAAATTTCTACTTAGTTGGAAATGTTGTATTTGTTATTTGAATCAGTATGGTTCTAATCAAAAGAGGATTCTCCTCAGTAGGAACAAGAACAAAATAAAGGCAACTAATATATTCACTCCTTTTTAAACTCTGTCAGTAATTTTACTTGCCGTTGACAAGCAGTTATACCAATTTTCATGCTTTTATTATAACCCAAGTGTTATAAATCTTCTTTTCTTCATGTTTTAAGATTATATCGTTTTCCTTCTTTAAATCACCATTTTCTACATAAGAAAATGCCTGTTTCAAGTCAGAAATATGACAGTTGTTTTCCATTCGTTTGATGTGTTTGAGCTTTTGATTTTGCCATTTTGAATTTTCCTCGGAGTTCGGTATTTTTGTTATTTTACTTTTTGTTTTACTGTTTTACACAAATCTTTTCTGTTTTTGCGTATTTAGGCTGGTATACCGGGAAAACAATTTTCACTTGTCTATGAACCAGAAGCAGCTTCTATCTACGCTAGGTTTCTACAGATTGATAAAGTTGACGCTGGACAAAATAAAACTATTCTAAAGACATTCCAACCAGGAACCAAGTTACTTGTAGTAGATGCTGGTGGTATGTAAGCCCATCAATATTGAAAGTAAAAATTTGCTGTAAAAAGCGGTCATGATAGTTGTCATGACATTTAAACTGTATGTGCATACATCATCATCAAGGGATGAATAAAGAATGGGAAACTAAATGTCTTCCGTTGTCAACTAGAAAACAAACCATTCACTGCATATTTGCCTGCAAAACGTTCTGGACTCACGTATTTAGTAAATAAAAATAAAGATATAAATTTTCAACTATATCTTCGGGAAAAGTTGGAAAATCGAAAGAAAACAATCCGCTTTATCTATCCTTATTTTCACAGGATAGGCACGGTGATATCCATAAGTTTATCCGTGCAAATCCTCAAAATAACATTGGAATTCAAGAGATTTGTTTAAACTCTCCTAAATATCTTTCAACATGTGCACATCGTTTAGCTAATTAATAACATTATGGGACAGTGACACATTTCAGAGCACAAAGCATAAAAACCACTAGATTGAGACACTACAATTTTCACTATCTTTTTTATAAGAATATCTTTTTAAAAACTTAAAAGGCATAATCTAGTTTTTAAACTCTGTTGCATTCACATATGAATTTCATATGATCAAATTGAAATGATGTATCTTATATATGCCCGCTTTACGGAAAAACTAATAAACTAACAAAGTTTTACCCCTCACATAAACGACAGAAAATTCCAAACGTCAATTTGAAACTTGTGTTTGTTAATGTAGAATATAGTTTTATCATTTTAACCTTTATTTTCAATATAGAATAAAAGAACAGAGTTCATATGTCCCCCGTATGCACATATTTTATATTTCCAAGGGCCATAACTCTTTTTAAAAAAGTCGATCGTCCACCATTAAAGAACTTGTCCGCGATATTGCTGATATTAACCTATAGTATAAGTTTTATAAAAATCTGGCAAGATTTGTACCCGTGAGAGCGCTAACGAGACCATTTTCCAAAAATTTAATATTGCCAAGGGGCATAACTCTTTTAAAAGAAGTCGATCGGCCACCATTATAGAAATTGTCCGAGATATTGCTGATATTAACCTATTGTATAAGTTTTATAAAAATCTGGCAAGAATAGTACCTGTGAGAGCGCTAACAAGATCGAACGGACGGACGGACGGACGGACGCACGGTATTTCCATGTCCCCCGCAACGCATTACGCGGGGGACAATAATGTTCACACCAGCTTCGAGGGCGACATAGAATAGCGTACTGAAGTTATCTATTGGGCTTGGTAATCGCGATTGTCATTAGATAAGGAAAACAGTGATCTTACATGTGAGAAGATTAAATTAAGGCCCCCAAAGGGGTTGGCCCCAAAGTTAAGACAACCTTCAAGTAATTGTTTTATTTTTTGCCTTTGGACTGTAGAATGTCAAAATATACTTTGCTTTAAATAGAAATGTTCCAAAATACTCAGACAACATTTTTATGAGTTATATATTTTATTTATAAACTTAAACGTGTATTTACGCATTTTTGAATTTAACTTCACATGTTTATTGAAGCTGTTGAAATAAATTATCTGATTTATTTATCTGATTTATTTATCTAAAATGCAAATAAATTAAATCATACCTAAAATATTTATAAGTTTAAGATTAATCATCATTCAGCGTTAAAAATACACCCTTTGTAGGTTCATCACTATAACTCGCGCCGGTTGTAAAAATAACCAAATCGGTGACTACAAAACAAAGTGCGGGGACCAGACATAAATAAACTAGTGACTAAGCTGTTTAAGTTCGATTATATTTACAAATACGTGTGCTGCTATAAGTTGATAATTATGTTGTATTAAAATTTGTCTTTGACAATTCATAATTTTACTATAACAACTTTCCCAATGACAAAATTTTAATGTAACAATTATATTACATTTTCTACCGTGACGCAAAAAGCCTAGATATATTATTTTAAATATTACTTTATCAGTTGATATTGAAAAATACTTCTACATCATTATATCATGTTCATACGTGATACTGTTACATTATCAAAGACTTTTACTCCCCGACATAACGAACTGCGAAACAATTCAAACAAGAAAACCAACGGCCTGATTTAAGTTTGATGACAACAAACCTGCCACTACAAAGCGTGTTTCTCTTTGAAATAATAGCTACTTTTGATTGGTTGGTTAGTCCTATAATATTGTTGACTGGATGTAGACCAGTTCAGCTTAAAATGATACGGATATGAATTTTTCCATATGGTCGAATGGAAATCTGTGTGACATCATCGCTGTTATTAATTACAACTTAAAAGTAACAATAACTGAACGTTTGAATGAATACTCATTTAATCTATCTCAAAGACCCAAATGTTGCCTCTCTTATCTGCATTACAAATATGGTGTGGACCCAATATTAGACAAACACATAACAATATATTTTGTGTGTGTTAAATCAGAGATAGACTTGGAAACCCAACTATAAAGCCTTCTATGAATCTTCCAAACCCCGGAACGTTTCTATAAAACAGATAAGAATTGGGAAAACTTTGGATATTATACTGACAAAAACAGTTGATGTTCTAATGGAAACCAACTCAGCTCGTCTTCAAACGATTTTATTGAGACTGCATACCTGCGCTTGTAAAATAAACTTTAAATAAGCTACACCATAGATGTATGGGTTTATACATCTATGGCCACATCTATGGCCACTCTCATCCTTTAACTCCACTTTCTGCTTTATAACATTTCCTTATTAGAATTTCCTGAATAAAAGGTTGATACTGACAAGGAAGGGATTGAATGGTAAGGGTGACGTCATCTCTAAGAACGTTTTACGAATGCCATCATGATTTGTTAACCTGTCATAAAATTTGTGTAACTGATGACAACCTTTGCATTAACAATAGTCATAATTCATCATTTCAACGTTAAAAAAATTCCTTGAATGTGACTTATTACTAGCTTTTACTTTCACATGAGTAATATGACCGTAGCTCTCAGTGGAGGAGAAAGCAACTACGTAATTAACTCCGTTATGTAAAGAAAGATCGACAAATCCAGGGTCAAAAGACAAACAAGAGACAAGAAAACACTACATTGAAAAGTACAGTAATATTGACCAGCATGAACTTATTCAGACTACGGGATTTACCTTATATGCTCTGAATTGGTTAGCAGTTGTTTCTCCATACTTTCTCATCTTATTTTTTCTAGGTCTCCCAATAATAATATACGTAAAGAATGGTAACCTGCAGACTTAAGTTTCAGTGGAGGTGAATTCATGTCAGGATATCCAATCTTTTATAACGGATATTTTAATCATAATACACATTGTATGCACCCTTGAATTAAATAATTGATTAATTCAGTTGTATATGTTTTCTATTTTTATTATTTATTCATATTTGTTGTTGAAAAATACAATTAATTTCATAATCAAACAAACATACCAACTTGAACCTATACATTTTAAGGTGGAACAGTTGACATATCTGCGCAAGAGGTGCTGGATGAATATGGTCTGAAAATAATACACAAAGTCAGAGGTGGAGACTACGGCGGTAACTCGGTCAATATGGCGTACAGACAAATGTTATTTCGACTGTTCTCAGGCCCAAGTCTATTAAGATTTAAGAAAGAATATCCAATGGATTATATGGAAATGATGAGGTCTTTTGAGAGAACAAAAATCAGACCTACAAAACCCGACGATAAAACTGTTTCTACAATGATAGCAGCTCCACTGCTAGAAATCAGCGAGGAGGAAAGTGAATGCAATATTCATGAAATCATAAAAAGTTCACAATACGCTAATCAACTTCGCGTCAAGAGGGATAAACTTTTAATAAATCTTGCACTTTTTAAAGAATTTTTCGAACATTCACTAAATGAATTAGTGATTGACATGAAGGCGGTTCTTGAGCACAAACGATGTGCTGATGTATCGGCAGTGATGTTAGTTGGTGGTTATGCAGAATGTGAATTACTAAGAAATATCGTAACACAAACATTCCCGCAAAAAGAGGTTTTTGTACCGCATGAAGGTGGTCTATCGGTTCTTCGGGGAGCGGTTATTTACGGGCATACACCAAAAATCGTATCATCTCGTATCTGTAATTATACATATGGTATTGCAGTCAGTAAACCATTTAAAGCCGACGTCATGCCTATAGACAAATGTTATGAACATGATGGAGAACTCTGGTGTCGCGATATCTTTGAAATCAGTTATAAAATTGACACCGTTGTCAATATCGGCGATAAAAAACAAATAGAACTGAATGATACTTTTCTTTTACCTGAAGTCCAACATAGAAGGGAGGAGCCACTCAGAGTTGACATCGTTATATCAGACAAAGAGGATCCTAAATTTATAACAGATGAAGGTTGTAGGAAGCATGCAATGATAATTGTTCAGCCACCTAAAGGCCAGTGGCCACAGGAAGTCCATGGTTATGTCGAATTTGAAATAGCAGGAACAGAAATGATAGGATCTTACATTAATAGTGAAACCAATGATAGAACCTCGATAATAATTGAATTTCTTCCACGAAAAGAGCAGAGAGTTGGTAATGACAGTGAAAGACGACGCATATTTGATCCGGATCGAATTGACACGGACAACGAATAGAAAAGAATATGCTTATTTTTGCTTAAAATCTATATTTCCTAGTCTACATGTTAAATGTTGTAATAATATTTAAAACGTTGCATTAAAATACACACATTTTTTCAAGTCTAAAAAACTGTTTACCAATATGTTCACATCATTCTGTAATGAATGCAACCTAACATCATTGTAACCGATAACTTTAAAATATCCAATATTTATAAAACAGGCTCTGCAGAATAGATTTGATTTTGTTTTTAAGCAAAGTTAAAAGTGTGAATGTATATTTTTCGTGTCGGTTTGGTTTGCTGTCTCGTTGTTGTATATACCCCATCTCCTTTACTCATTAACATTGAGACTTTTGTTTTGTGATATGTTATAACCACGTATGCCACCTTCTGTTCTACCAATTATTTATACCACAAAAATATAGCAAGAAGTACAAAAACATATTAGACATGAGAGGCGAAAGATACCAATGGGATATTCAAACTCATAAATCAAAAACAAACTGAAAATGCCATGGCAAAAAAACGAAAATCGACGAAAAGACAAACAACAGTACACAAAACACAGTCAACATCGAAAACTAAAGACTGAGCAACACGAACCCCACCAAAAATCGGGGGTGATCTCAGCTGCTTCGGAAGGGTAAGCAGATCCTGCTCCACTGTTGCACCCGTCAAACAGCACTGCACATGGTTGTAACCAATAACAACCAATTCGTGGAATGATGAAAACGAGACCAAGAAAAATAAAAATAACATTGAATAATCATTAATTTTAGATAATAATATTATATGAAAAAAAATCAAATTTAGTGTATCGTTGATAAGACAACAATCCAAAACCACAATATACTAAACATACTTTGAGGGAAACATAGGTCTTCAACACTAAACAAGTATTAACAAAAGAGAAAAAACAATGAGTCATCATGAGCCATACTTTATATGTAACTGTTGTTTAATGTTTAGTGTCTTCAATAACAGTCAATACATTTTTTCGTCTTTTTCGTCTATATTTTCTAACTTGACAATGCTTCTTCTGTAATAATGGCAAGCGTGGATCAGTTTAAAGTTTGTGAGTGTTACAGTAAAATCAAATAAAATACGGTTGTATTCTTATAGATATAAGAAGATGTGGTATGAGTGCCAATGAGACAACTCTCCATCCAAGTCAAAATTTATAAAAGTAAACCATTATAGGTCAAAGTACGGTCTTCAACATGGAGCCTTGGCTCACAACGAACAGCAAGCTATAAAGGGCCCCAAAAATTACTAGTGTAAGACCATTCAAACAGGAAACCCAACGGTCTAATCTATATAAAAAAACGAGAAACGAGAAACACTTATGAACCACATCGACAAACGACAACTACTGAACATCAGATTCCTGACTTAGGACAGGTGAAAACAATTGCAGCGGGTTTAAACGTTTTAATGGTACCAAACATTCACCCTAATCTGAACCAATAGTGTAACATCACAACATAGAAAGACACACTATAAAATATCAATTGAAATGGCTTAACTCAATCAAAAGACATATTAACACCAGTTAACATACACTGAACAAATAAATTTGATCTATGATACAATATAAATACAAAATAAATAAACTAAGGGAAGAATAATTAAAGTAACATGTTATACCGCTGTGAAATGTTAAACAATATAAGAAAAACAATATGCTAGAACAAAAATATCAATCATTTGCAATTACTTTAAACACAAGTGAATGAAAATAATTTTGTTGTTAGGTATATGTGTACAGTTAGAATAGAGAAAGGAAATATTTTTACAAAATAAATAATTTTGATGTTCATAGTACGAAAAAGTGAAAATTTACAGTAATACCAAACACTTATCAAAGCTGGTATATATACCAGATATAACCCTGAATAACATTAAATAACAAAAAAGCGTTACAATTAGTATCAACAGGTCAAATAAACAAGAAAGTACGATTTGAGAGTACTCAAAGTTACTGACAGCAAGTTAAAAGCCAAAAACAATTAATAATAAAAAATCATGCATCAGAGACTAAAATCAACTAAAACACATCCCAGGGATTTAGTATTTTAACGTCATGGACAATCAAAGAAGACATGACTTGTGCAATGCCAAAAAAAAAATGTATCGACAGGCAGTAGGATAGTTAGAAATTAAAAGTTAGAAGTTAACCTCTTTATAGATCAAAATGAATGTGGGTCTGTCTTTATACATCCCGTTTGAAAAGAATACAAATTATGTCTAAACATGTGACATATCTTTCAATCTTCACGCTTAAAAACAACTGAAAAATCTATATACATGTCGTTTTTGTATTCCAAACAGTGTCAGGAGATACATTCTGGTCCATTGGCCTTTGGTGGATTGTTGTCTTATTGGCAATCATTTCACATCAACTAGTATTTATTTTTGAATTAGATACCGGTACATTTTACGAATACATCTTTTCGTTACACAAAAAACTGTATATAACATCACAAAAAGAATACATAGATTAAATGCTCGTCTAAAAAGTAAACAATATTCAAAATAAATAATGAATAGTTCAATACAATATTATGATATATAGATATAAGAAGATGTAGTATGAGTGCCAATGAGACAACTCTCCGTCCAAGTCACAATTTGTAAAAGTAAACCATTATAGGTCAAAGTAAGGCCTTCAACACAGAGTCAGAGCCTTGGCTCATACAGAACAGCAAGCTATAAAGGCCTCCCAAAATGACTAGTGTAAAACCATTCAAACAGGAAAACCAACGGTTTAATCTATATAAAATTACGAGAAACGAGAAGAACTTATAAACCACATCAACAAACGACAACCACTGAACATCAGATTCCTGACTTAGGACAGGTGCAAACAAATGCAGCGGGTTTAAACGTTTTAATAGGCGCCAACCTTCACTCTACCTGAAACAATAGTGTAACATCACAACATAGAAAGACACACTATAAAGTATCAATTGAAATGGCTAAACTCAATCAAAAGACATATTAACAAAAACAAGTGAACATACACTGAACGAATAAATTTGATCTATGACCATGATGACACAATGTAAATACAAAATAGTTTACATACTTACGATGTTTTTTTCTTATTGCAACTTTCAGATACACTCTAACAAGTAGTTGTTGAGCGGAAGGGGGTTGTGGTGATAGAGAACGTTTTGCTGATACTATTATTCTAATGGAGGCGTAAATAATAAAAAAAGTACGATATATATATAGAATGAATATTATCCAGAAAGTAAATACAACCCATGAAACTGAAAAAGGAAGACAAAATAAATTTGTTAAACGATTTTTGATAGTAACAAAAAGAGAGAGACAGAAGATACCAAAGCGAGAATCAAAAGTCATCAATTAATTTCATGGTAAATCAAGAAAAATACGAACAGACAAGCAACATTCTTCAAAACACTACACAGAAAACAAAAGACTGAGCAACTTTGAACATGTTTTTCTCTTGCCTTATCTTGACTTATGAGTTTAGAATGTGAAACCCTTACAGAGTACCTGATATCACTTCCGGTTTTTGGGGGTTTCCTGTTGCTCATACTAGTTTTTAAAGTAGTGTTTTGTAGTCTTGTTTATCTTTTCGTCGTTTTTCGTTGCTTTTGTTTGCCATGGTGTTGACAGTTTCTCATCGACTTTTGAGTTTTTAATGTCCCCTTCGTATCTTCCGCCTCTTTCTTAAACAACGAAGCATTATATCAGTAATAAACCTACACAAAATGTCTGACTTAATTCACAAAGGACAGTTCATCAACGATAGTGTCAAAAAACAATAGCCTTATTACTTTGTTAGTTTTGATGTATTTCTCAATCAGCAGTTGTAAAATATCATTATTATGACTGTTAGAATAAGACTCGTTCGTGTTGAGTTCTGTTAATAGTAAAGATTACGATATCGTTGTGTTAAACTATTTTAGCACCTGTTTGGTAAAGCGTGAAATAAAATTATATTGCAGATTATGTTACAGCACTAGGGAGATGATAGATAGTGTAATCTAATGTTTTATTATGGACATAGTACTATAAATCACAAGAAAAGTGCAGCTCATGCAACCTGAAATATTCATACTTGCATGGAATTATCATTTTCTACACTTCCCATGAATGACAGTGGCTAATAATTCGAAACACTATTCTTCCCATTTTTTTATTGTCTATATTTCATTTCATTGAGGGCCTATCCCAGAGTAATTAGTTAATGGATAAAAACAAATAATCGAGAAAGTAACAAACATGTGTGTCGACACGATAAGCCTTTCCAGTCAATCTACGTGTAGTGTACGAGATATAAAAGGTCTCGAATACCATGCATTTCGATAGAATGAAAACATTTAAATCAAAGGACATGAAGTTTTACTAATTTCCATTTTAACTGTAATGGAAATGTTTTACTCTTAAAAATAAGTAAATTTTATGTAAAGTCAGGTCATGTCGTAGAGTATCACTATGAAAATACATCCCTTAGGTACCCTCGAGACTAAAAGTTGGGGAGGACAAATATTTGAAAAGATAGGAAGCATCACACATATGTAGGCATACACCGAACGCAGTGTCTAAAAGGGCAATATTTACTTTTATTATTAGCTATATTAATCGGAAGTTCTTCTCAATAAATACATTTAACACATTTCATAAACTCGGGATTACCACATCAACAAAGTCTCTACTGTTATTGTTAAAAATGTCGATTAGTTGTCAAAATATTAAGTTTTCATTCTGAAGTTCTTCCAAGAAATAAGATTCTTAACAGTAAAGAAAAATATATACAATTAGAGATGTGTAGTAAGTTCCCATAGGAATTCCGATAAGTTGACGACCTAAAATTTGGGAGAGCGAAAAAAAAATTAAAACCCGTAACTATGTTTCCGCATGCATGTCCATGAACAATGATTATTATATCGTTTATACATAAAAAAATCTTTTATTAACACAACAGATGATTTATCAAAAACAAGTTCAATTATTTTTCCAAGTTTAGTTGCATAAGGTTGAAAATCATAAAATTCTGTCACAGAAATAATTGTATGATCGTATATTCACTTTAGTTTTTCTGCGACTTCACCGGAACTGTTTACACTCCGAAAATAATTGACGCCTATGTTTTTATAGAATTAATTGCAGTATTGAATAAAAAGATTTTTCATGGTAGAAAATGCACTGGTCAGAAGGATAAATAATTTAGTAGAAGTCTACCTACTAGAAACTAAGAA